CCTCGGATCCGTCCTCCACCCTCCTCCCCCCCCCCCCCCCCACCAGCCCCACCAGCTGGTCACAGGATCCACCCACATCCCGATAACAGGCACAATGTGCCCTAGTGCCAGCCGGCTAAAATCCAGTAGGGATAAGGATCATTTGCTGATGCAATTCAACAGTAATGCGTGGTCCCCTTGCTTGGGGATGCTTGAACAAGACTGGCTACATTGCAGAGTGGGCGGGAAATTTCTGTTTGATTTTCCAACAGAAAATACAGTTTCTGCAAAATGGAAATTTTGATTTTGCGAGAGAATTTTCAGTTTTTCATCAGAAAAATCGAAATGAAAAATTTAATTTGGGGTCGACACAAATTGAAATATTTCATTTATTGAACTGTCCTGAAACCTTTACTTTAGAATTAGTTCAACAAAACACTAAACCATATTTACCTATCAGCGCATTGCCTTATGGGAGCTGTAGTTCAGGCCCAATTCTCTCCTACGGGCTGGATCCCTGGAGGACTACATCTTCTCATATGGCAATATGGATTTCTCTCTGAGCTGAGTGGTGCATCATGGAAATCACATGACTGAATGCATTATGGGAGATGTAGTCAGGTGAAGGACACTGGCCCATATAAGAGAATGTGGCAGCAGGCTCCCAAACTACAACTCCCATGGGGCATGCACTTTAGTATGGAACTAATTTGGAGTAAAGCGTCTTCAGGTCAGTTCAATAAACCAAAAGGAAATGTTTCGATTTTTGGGAACGTCAATGTTTTATTTTGATAAAAAATGTTGCAATGTTTTGATATTTCTGCATCGAAACTTTCTGAATTTTCATTCTGTGAAAAATCGTGAAATTTCCACTTTTACTCTCGATTTGGGACAAAACCAAATATTGAAATGTCAGAATGTCCAAGGGATAGAAATTCTGAATTTCCCTCAGCCTCACCAAAATGCTCGCAATGGATGGTCCCCGCAGTGGTTTGACACATGTACTGGGGACGGATCGGTCTGAGCGAAAGGAGGTTGCCTGGGGTGCATGTCTTTCCTTGCAGCTAGCTGGAGTGGATGTCATCGGAGGATGTGGGGGATTGACTCTACCCATCCGAGCCTTTTGGGGCCTGGTGGGCACCACCTGAATAGACCCTACCTGGCTTCCTTCTCAGTGCTTGGGGCCCAAGAACAGTTTGCCGTTAGAATCAGGTGGGTACCGCAATTCTGGGGGCGGCTGCCCAGCGTGCCAGCTGCCCAATGGAAATCCCAGTGGTCGAGTGCTCTACTGGGGAGAGGCAGCTTGTGTGCCCAGAGCATGAACTAAATGTTCAGGATTGCTCATCAGTGGGATCACATCCCTGCTGCGTATCCACAGAACCCCCCCTGGCAGAGAGCCCCCTGTAGAGGAGGCCATTAACTGATCCAGAAGGGCTGCTGCCCGCGGGACAGGTATCCCATCCAGATGTTGAGCCCCCTGGGGCTGTCTCGGGAAACCTGTCAGATGGACCCAGTGGCCTGTTTCCTCCAGCTGTTCTGGCTGATGGACATGCCTGGTACTGAAAGCAGATGGTGGGTGAAGCATCCCCTCTCCAGGTGCTGTGACTGATACATGTGCAGTGTCACAGGCCCAAGAAGGAAGAGGGATACATCTGGCTGGCTTCCAATCTGGCCGGGATCCCTCCCACTCTGTCCTTGAGCAGCTCCACACCTAAGCTCTCTGCAGTGTAAAGGCCCCACTGCACGATGGATTCAGCTTCCCAACTCCCCCCACCCCCCAGCCTTAGTGTCAACTGCTGTTCTCTAGTGGTTAGAGCAGAGGATGCTCTGGGAATCAGGACTCCTGGGTTCTTAGTGGTTACAGGGGGCTGGGAGCCAGGGCTCCAAGATTCGGTTCCCAGCTCAGCCCCTGACTCACTGCAAGCCACGTCTCTTCCCTGTGCCCCAGTTTTCTCATCTGTGCAATGGGGCTAGCGGGGGCTGTGAGATCGTCAGATGAAAGCAGGCAAAAGAGTAGCACAAGATGTTGTGACCCGTCCATGTTCTATGCCTGTGTGGGACACTCTGCAGCAAATCTCCCTTCATTGGCTCCTCCAACTTCTCCAAAGCTCCTGACCCCTGTGCGCCTGCACACCCCACTGGCCAGCTGTCTGTCCGGGCTCCAGAACTTCCCCGGCTCGGGCCGGGTGAGCTGCAGAGGCCGTAGCAGCGTGTGGTGGGTGTGAAGCCGCTTTCGGAGGTGCGGATGCCATGCTGGGGGGAGGTAGGCTGGGGTCAGTCCTGCTTCATTCTGCTTCCTGAGCTAAACTTAGCCGGTGCTGCAACCGTCCTGTCAGCATGTCACCAACAGGGCCGGCCTGCAGGAGCTGACATGGGAGAATGTCCCCCAACAGGCCCCCCTGCCCCCACTGGAGACCCTTCCTACCCCGCCAGCCCTGCGCGGAGTCACGCTGCAGGCACACGGGCCTGATAAAGTGTCAGCACCAGAGTGGCTCTTCCAGCAACACCTCTGGCTGCTGACGTGCCCTCGCCCGGCAGCTCTGGGACGCTGGACGGTAAGAGCCTGGGATCAGCTAGGGGATGGGGAGCCAGCGGTCTCCCCGGAAGGCGCTGAGCCGGAGCAGAGCCTGGGCTGATAAGCGTGGGGGAAGGGAGCGAGGAAGCATTAGCTAATGCCTGTGACGTGCTGGGTGGGATGCCTCCTGCCTGACGCAGGCCAAGGTGGGCACTCGTGGCTCGTTCTTAGACCTTCCAACCCTGGGGCAGGAGTAGCCCTGTCCTAAGAGTGGCCCTGCTGTGCCAGGGCCCCAGGGACAACCCCATCCTGCTGGACTGGCCAGGATGATACCGTTCAAATGACACTGGCTGCTCTGGACGAGACGGAGACAGTCACATTCTTGGGTATGAAATAAGCAGATTGCGTCTCTCCCAGGGGGTGCTGTGCTTTTGGGGGTGCTACCCCTCCTCCTCAAGCCATGCCCCCATCTCCTACATCTCAGCCTGGCATGGGGGGGTATGGTCTTCTGGGGGTGCTGCCCTGAGCTCCTGCCCATGCCCAGTTTCCTTTCAGCCCCAGAGCTTGGCGTTAGGGCGTGCTGTGCTGGTAGAGGCGTCATTCCTGGCCTTGTGTGTGGGGTACCTGGGCACCCTGCCTGTCTCTGAAAGGACCATCAACTGGAAATCGAGCCAACCTGGCTAAAAACCTGGCTTAAAAATCATTTCCAGTCCTGTACCCGCCCCTGGGTCCCACTTCAGCCTCACTAACGCCCCTTCTGCCAATGTTTGTGGCTTTCCGATTTTTTCTCCCTCCTTTGCTGCTCAAAGCAACACCAAGGGGGAGCCCAGATGCCGCAGTGATGGGCACTGAGCTGAGACCCAAGAGAGACCACATCTGTGCAGACCATACATGGTGGCACAGACTCTCCCAGAGCGCTGCAATTTCCTGTGCCAGTCATCCGAGGGGAAGGCTCAGACAGGTGAGTGGCTTTCAGGCTGCTTCTGCTGGCTGCTGACTCCCCTCTCCTGGCAGGGTGAGCCTGGGAGGCCTGTCGGGATTGACGCTCTCTCTGGAGGTTTCCGTTATCTCCTTGCATGGTCCCAAATATGCTGGTGGTTTGGGAAGCACTGCCATGGTGCTTCCCTCCCTGGGATTCCTGATTGGCTCGAGGATGGTTTATTTCCCTGGCGGCCGAGGAGAAGTGAATCCAGGATCTCTGGTTCTCCCCTCGCACTTTACTACACAGTCTGCTGCTAACAATAACGTCAACATCCTCTGTGGGGATTGACGGGATTGTCACAAGAATGGCCATACTGGGTCAGACCAATGGTCCATCCAGTCATATCCTGTTTTCTGACAAAAAGAACAGGAGTACTTGTGGCACCTTAGAGACTAACAAATTTATTAGAGCATAAGCTTTCGTGGACTACAGCCCACTTCTTCGGATGCACTCTAT